ATATATAACAAAGATATTTAAATGAAATAAAAAATAAATTTGTAAATTATATAATTTATTTTAGACTATCTCTGAGTGTAATTATACTATTAATACATAATTAAATTTGCATCAAATATAATAAATAAAAATAGAATTTCTAATATATATATATACTTATATAATAGTATATATAATAATTTTTGTATAAAATATAATTTTAGAAAAAATAAAATAAATTTGTTAGAAATTAAAGTCAATATACTGTTACATATGATTTCGCAATAATATCATATAAACTATAATACTTTAGATAGTTTTTACCAGAAAAATAAAATAAAATAATAATCTTTTAAAATACATTAAACTTTATTTTTTTTCTAAAATCCTTATATTTTCCAACAACAACAACAAATAATTTAACAATAAAACGTCAGCAATAATTGATGGCAAATACAATATATATAACATATATTTTTAATATATATATATATATATATATCTGTATTGTCAACACAGAATCGTTATGTCAATTATTATTATTATTATTCCCTCTATTGTAGTGTAGTTATTATAAATGATAGTTTGTTTCCTATTGTATTTCTTTCTTAATAATTTTTATTTTATTTTTTTTTGTTAAAAAAACTTAAGTTTTACTTAACAACTATAATGTACAGTATATATATATATATATATATATAGCTAAGCAATTTGTATGAAATCAAATAGTTTGAATTGCAATAATTTAATGGCAATTTGTATTGTTGTAAATTTCAATTTGTAATGTACAGTATAAATAATGTTATAGTTATAATAAAGAGAGAGAAAAAAATAAAATAAAATAGTTTTAACATTGAAATTAGATTATATTATTTAATAATATAAATAGAAAGTACTGTACAAATGAAATAACAATATAGTAACAGTAATAGTAAAGTATATATAAGTTTTAAAAAAAAAATTATTTTTAAGTGACAAAAAAATTTTCGCAAATCTTATAAAAATTTATATATAAATAGGAGTTAAATCTTAAACTTTTAGTGTGTGTGTGTGTGTGTGTGTGTGTGTAAGTGGGTGAGTGAGTGTTAGTCAAACTGGGAATGGGTTTTATCTAATTTAGACACACTATGACCTGCACATACACACACACATACACACACATACACACACATACATACATACAGGAGCTTTTTGAGAGCACACATATTATTTATTGATTGATGAGTCTCTCGGAGGCCTTTCCCTTAATACATATAACATACTATATATATATATATATATATATATATAAAAGATGCGAAAATATTGTTAAAAATATATTTTAAAAATCAATTCTTATATATATATATTTTATCACACGTTTTATATAACAGTAATATTGTATACACAGAGACTATTTAAGAGCACACATACATACTGTACATACACTCTCACCAAACAGTTTATTGAAAGTGTGTTTATAATAAAATACAGTAAATATAAGCATTATATAACAAGTAATGACCGTTTTAGTACATCAATTTTTACGTTATTATTATGATGCAACTAATAAAGATAAAAATGTGATTCTTTTTAAATAAAAAAGGTCGATTATTTATATTTACATTTTACAATTATTTGAATTTAGTTTTTCTATATTTTACCAATTATTATCATTTTAGTAAAAGACATTCAAATTTGACTACAAATTTTTTAATTATAGTGATTATTTAAATGTTATAATAATAAATTCCAATGTGATAATATTTCATTAAATAATATTAGCCTAGATGATTGTTCAGAAAAGTTTTCAAAATTTTAATATTAATATTTAAAATTTTATAATAAAATAATTGTCAGAACTAAAGCTAAATTGTTTAGCATTATATTGTTACATATAATTGTTAAAAATCTAAAGTTATCATGTTATCCGTCTAACAATATACTTGACTTTAAATGCCACACTGTTAGAGCTAGCTTGTTTCTTCTTAATGACAAATATATAAAAATAAATATAATGACTTTTTGTAATTTGCTGAATCATGTACTATATCTTATAAAATTATGTCTAACTTTTTCTTTAAGTGAGATATATTTAATTTTCTTTCATGAATAGTATGTATATAAGTATCTACTAATGATAAGCAGAATTATAAAAAACAAATTTATATTTAAGTAGATAATTTTATCTTAAAACTAAAAAATTTTCGTTATGTGTGATAATTTCAACATATTTTATTATTTGATTGAAAATATCTATCAATTTTATAATTATTATATCAAATGACATATATACTAATATATAATAAATAGTTTATATTTAATATTTAAATTTTAATAAAAAAAACAATTGAATTAATCTATGATGCTTATTTTATTTAAAAGTATGTGATTTAAAGAATTTAAAACACAATAAAAGAGTCTGAATATAAAGTTATTGTTAGTTGTAAATATAGTCCTGTTAGTGTACTTTAAGATTAATTTTAAATTGTATTTTTAAATATTTGTTTAAACAAATTACAATTAAAACTATAACATGATGTAAAAAATGTCATTTTTACTTTTTTGCAAAAAATACATATGAAAAATTTTTTAAAATGACATTGTTTATTTACCTAAATATTAGGCGATAATCAATGAAACAGATGTAAATTTTATGATTTTTTATCATTTGTAGTTTTCGAATAAATTAACTTTAAAATTTGTTTTAATTTCGGACAGTTTCAATTGTAGAATACTTATATATATAAAAAAATTATATATAAATAATACAATAATTCTACAGTATATATATATCTACTATTACTACTACTACTACTACTACTACTACTACTACTACTAAAGCTTTAACCAATTTTTAAAAGGGAAAAAAGCTAACCAACACTCTGTGTGAGGAAAGGTATTAAATCAAATCAAATAAATAATATTTTAGGTTTACTTATATATATATTTATTTTTTTACTGGCGATAAAACGATTTTTTTTCTCTCTATATATTTTTATATATATATATATATATACATATAATTTATATTCACTGATGACAGCAGGCATATGTATGGCTGATTTGAACTTAATATATAAAATTTATTTGAAATAAAATATAAATTGAGAAAAAACATAACATTATTTTTTAAATAATATATTTAGAATAATATAAATATTTTTTTGTTTCTAAAAAAAATTTTAGATAATAAATAATTTCTAAATAATAATAATAAAATTGCACATATTGCTAATAATAATAATAATAATAGGACACATATATACATATATATTATAGTAGGTGTGTGCCATACTGTAGCATAACTGAGCATCAAAAAAAAATCGGTATAGTCATTTATGAACATACAATTGTGTGCAAAAAAATATATATATGTCCACAAAAAAATCAATGCTCTAAATAGTATGCAGCAGAAAAAAAATTAATAAACCAAATACCCACCACTACCCTAACCCATACCCACCCAACCCACTAACAAAAAATATGAGATGCAATACTTACTTGATTTTCTGTTGTATGACTTACACATAGCCATACAGTCAGTCAGTTTGGTATTTTTGAATAACGAGTTGTTTTGCGGATAAGAGAGATAGTAAGTGATGAGAGACTCATCACTGACTGGTCTCTCACTATTATTGTGTATGAATTTTTCTCTCAGTCTCCCATCACCAGTGAATCACTGGATGGATGGCTAACAACAACTGCATCTCATCATCCAAGCCCACTGTCACTGCCACTACTGCTACTACTGGGTTAGACTCTCACTCACTCCCAACCAAACAAATATATATATATATATATATATATATATATATTGATATACAGTACACATCTATCTATCTATCAGTGCTTCCCTTTTTGCAGAATCCATAGAGAGTGCGCTCTCTCTCTCTCTCTCTCTCTCTCTTTCACTCTCAACAACATTAAGAATACAGATTACATGTCATCACCCATACCTACAATACAATACAATACATACAGTACTGTACATACAATGTGTAACACATTTTTACATTTGCAAAAATTATATTTCTCTCATAACATAGCGTTTAGAACATTATATTTCATATATAAATACAATATATATAAAGTATTATTTTTTTTTGGAAAAAATATTTAATAAGAAAAATTTGACAATTAGTATGTAATTTTTTTTTTAAATTATAATCAAGCTAGATTATTTTTTTATTAATTAATTATTATTAACTATTATTAACTATAATTGCATTTGAAATTATTCTAGCTGTGGTTACTATGTATTTGAATGATATAAATAGAAAATTTTATCATGTTAAAAAACAGAACATAAAAATCTAATGTAACGTAATCTATGAATAGGACTATCAATACTGTAGTTATTATACAGTATAGACAATAACCCCTAAAACTTAGTACACTTACTAAACACTAGACAGTGTATAGTATACTACAGTTAGTGTTGGCAAAAAAGAGAAATTTCTAGAAAGTTTCTAAAAGAAATTTCTATCTATGGGATCCCCATGTTAATTATGTTATTTCAATATTTTTTATCTTGTAACATTTTTATTAAAAGTAATAATTAAATATTATTATTAGTATTTTAATTATTAATTAAGGTAAAAATTAATTTATTTAATTATATTTAACTATAATATAATAAAATGATGAATAAAATTTTACAAAACTGATTATTATTGGATAATTATACTTATTTATATAAGTATCCCATTTGTATAATATTAACATGTACAATATTATGTCTCATTAATATATTTATAGTATTTCCAATAACTATAGATATGGGGATCCCATAGTATAACAATAAAGTTAAATTTCTATAGAAATTTATTCATGAGAAACTTTCTAGAAACTTTCTCACGGAAATTTATTAGAAACTTTCTATTTGCCCATCTCTAACTACAGTACACTGTATAGTGAATATAGAGAGAGAGAGAGAGTCACTACACATACAGTACTGTAAAAATAAAATATAAAATAAAAGTTTTTGAATGAAAAATATATTTTTGAAATCAATTTTTGTGTTTATTTTTTTTGTGAATGAATTGAATGTTTACGTTATTAACTGATTATTAAATTGATTTTACAAATAATAATAATATGTTATTATATTAATAATGAATGGTATGTTTGATGATATCTGTGCTAACAATTATCTTCAGTCAACTGGTCATTGTTTATCACCACAACTGAACCCAAATACTAATAGTTTTGTCGACACATTATTGTGCGGACAACAGCTGGCATACGAGGCTTATGTAGACAAAGCACTGGTAGCCCAACAACAAGTAAAACAAGTAAATGGCTTACCATTGATGGTATCAAACAATAGTGACTTTGATTATCACAACAACAACAATAACATCAATGGACACAATCAACTAAATCAAGACTATTTTTTCGGTGACCAACAACAACAAGATTGGAATCAATTGGTGACGACATCATCGTATGAGACATCAAACAATAACCACAACAACAACAACTTCAACGCCGATATCACAACAAATTACAAGACTTTAAGTACTAATAGTAGTAGTAATCAAAAGCCGAAACAAAAGTCGTCCGCAACTAATAAGTGGACAAAAGCCAAGACTACTGGTGTCGCCGCCGCCGCCGGTGCCAGAAAAGAGTCGACACCACAGTCGTCGTCATCGTCATCAGCATCGCTAAGACCGCCGAAACCGGTCAGCGCTTACGCCTTATTCTTCAGAGACGCCCAAAGTTTGATTAAGTCGACCAATCCGTCGGCTTCTTTCGGCGAAATATCGCAAGTTGTGGCCAAAAATTGGGAAGCATTAGACAAACGGGAAAAAAACGTTTACAAACAGCGGGCGGATCTCGAAAAGAAAAACTATTTGAAAACATTGGCCTCGAGTCGGGCCCAACAGATTGCCGGACTTCTAGCCGGATCGGTTGCGGCCAAACTTAGCGGCGGCGTCGGTAGCAATACAGTTGAAAATAAACCAAAGAACAGCCAAAGAACGACAACAACAACATCAACAACGATGATGACCACCACAGCTGTTCCCGATCAGTCCACTGATGCTAACAGTCAGCAGCTGATGATGAATGACCAACAAAATCATCAGCTATTTGATGGCAGCCAACAACAAGTATGTGACAGTACGTCCAATAGCGGCGGCAACAACATATCGGCCGATAATTGCGGACATTTGCAGCAAAATTTAGTGATGTCGTCGTCATCGTCGTCGACTACGGCATCGCCGCAGCCGTCTATTGATCCGATGGCCGCCGTCGCCGCTCCCAATCAGCACTGCATTCGTCAGGGATGTACTAACGATGCCATCGATTCGCACGAATGGGATTCAGAGTATTGTTCATCCGAGTGCTGTGTCCGCCACTGTGCCGACGTATTCAACGATTGGGTCCAAAAACAACAGTTTACTCAACAATAATAATAATAATACCAAAAAAATAATAATAATCATAATTATGTTTTTATTATTATTATTTCATTTTTTAAAATTTAATTATTATTATTATTTTTGTCTCTAAAAACGTTTTCAATTTTTTTTATTGAATATTTAATTATCCATTTGTCTCATAATCTCTATATGAATGAATCATTTATATAATGTATTTCATAGTATAGTAGTAGTAATAATAATAATAATTATTATTATTATTATTATTAAAAACTATATGACATTTTTATTTATTAGTTAACATTTATTTTTTTAGAAAAAAATACAATTGAATGTCATTTTATATAATACATAAAAAAACATTTTTTCAATTTAAAACTTTTTTATATATATAATCATTATTTAATTATAATAGTTTGTTTGTAAGAAAAAAAATTGCACATTATTTCTAACAAATATTAGTTAATTTATGTTATAATACTAAAATTGTTTACTAAAACTTTTCAAACAAACCATTATTATTATTATTACGGTATTTAATAATTATATTTTTAAATTCTTTAACTATTTGATTATAATATTTATCATTATAATTGTTATTACAATACTATTATTATTATTATTATTATTATTATATTGAACTGTTACTGATATTTACGGTTATTTTTTTCTATATGACATATAAAAAAAATATTTCAAACAATTGAAAGTTAATGTATTGATTAATGTATTGATTTATTGAATTATTATTAATATTTTATTATTAATTAATTGATAGTCATTTATTGGATGATTTCCATTACTCTGGGCACTGGTATGTAATGTTATGATATGTCACGTCTCCCTAATTCTAAGTAGACTATTCTCTCTCTCTCTCTCTCTCTCTCTCTCTCTCTCTCTCTCCCTGTATATCATTATCCATAGGTGTAACCGGTTTTTATGGGTTATATATACTGTATATATACAGTATATATATATACCTATGTTTTTCATATATTATTATTATTATTAGCACACATGAATTAATACTGTATATATATATTGTATATGTGTTTAATAATGACTTTCATATATTTAATATTTATTAAACACTAGCAAAAAAAATTATGAGTTTTCATTGATGTTTGTCTCTCTCTCTCTCTCTCTGAGCCTTACGTAAGCATTTGTTTTGTGTATTAGTATTATTAATAATACATTTTTTTTGTATTAAAATATACTGTAAAATTGGTTTTCATGGTAACTTTTTTGTGCAAACTAGTATAAATATATATACAAATACAAATATATATATATATATACATGTATATTGAAAAATATGTTTTATTAATCATAATTATTATGATATAAATTTATTTCATTTATTATATTATAATACAAGTGTGCTTCCAAAAAAACAGTAGTTTTAATAATAATAATAATAATATTTTCAGTGAAACAAAAAATATATTTATATATTTATACGAAATATATTTATATATTTTTTTTAATTGTCAACTCGTTTTTCAAGGATATAATCACATAATATATTTTTTTGTTGTTGAAAAAAAAGTTATACTAATTTAATACTGTATCTCTGATTTTTTTTTTGATATCATATCATATTTAGCATACATTAAATAAAATAGATATCTATATTATATATTAATATATCTGTTTTATATATATATATAAACATATGTATATGATATACACTGTATCTGATTAACTGCTATATTCTCACACTTTTACAAAAAATAATTTTTATGTCTAATAATAATATTATTATTATTATTTATTAGTATTAAATACTAAATGATTGTTGTTTTCATTTGATTCAATTATATTAGTTATATATAATAGTTGTGAAATACAAATAATAATGATAATAAAATATGTAAAAATTGTTTTTAATTGTTAAATATTTACACATTGGATTTGAATAATAGACACTGATTGTGTTTTATATGTGTTTGTGTTGTATGTGTTATAAAAGCAAATATTTAATTGAAAATTGATGTGTATTTAGTTAATCAATCAAAATTTCAATAAACATATTTAACATTATATATAAATTATATAGAAATAGACATAAACTTTGCAAAAAAATAAAACTTTTATATAAGTGTTATTATTATTATTATTACTGTATATAGTTTTAAATATTACAAACGATAACTAAATTAACTATTGTTTAAAAAAAAGTGGAAAAAATTTATAATTATATACTTATTATTATATAATTTTAAATTATATTTAATAATACAAACAAACAAAAAAATGCCGATCTATTACAAGAAAGTTACATCAAATGACGTGAATCTCATCGAAAAGGGCAACAAATCGTTTACGTTTGGTATCAAACGCAAGATCACCAACAATAGGTCCAACGGTTCTAGCGATGGACTTGAACTCAATCGCATCTATACGCCAACCACCAGATCAGCTGACAATAGATCGCAATCACAGTCGCTAATCGGCGAACAAACCACTGGCAGAAGTCAAAGTTTTTCCATTGAATCCAGTCGTCTGAAGTTCAAAGACTTGGATGATGACTACGATGAAAGGATTATCACTAAATATGGATCACTGGTTGTAACCAAATTGGACGCCATCAGCAATGGCAGCTCCAGTAGCAGCAGCAGCACTGGTACCGCCAATAATAAGCCAGTGATCCTAACCTATCATGACATCGGACTGAATAGTTCGTCAAATTTTGAATCATTTTTTAGTCTATCGGAAAATCGGTTACTATTGGAAAGTTTCCGAGTCTATCATATAACAGCTCCGGGACAGGAGTTCAATGCCGACGACTTGCCCTACAATTACGTCTATCCGACAATGGATCAGTTGGCCGAACAAATACACGATGTATGCAAACATTATGCCATCCAGTCGTTCATCGGTTTTGGTTACGGTGCCGGCGCTAACGTATTGAGTCGGTTTGCGCTTAACTGTCCCGATATGGTCGAGGGATTGTTTCTCATTCATCCATCAGCAACGGCCAGCACATGGACTGAATGGATATACCAGAAACTGAATGTCCGACAATTGCTTAACGGCGGCCAACAAATAGTCAACGATAGCTGTTTGCCTCAATCGGTTCAAAACTATCTGATGTGGCATTTGTTTGGCGACACCGAGTTTCCCGATCGGGTTACCGACGATGAGGCGGTTGATATGTATCGCCGATACTTTGGCGGCCAATTCATTAACAAACGAAATCTCGGTCTGTTTATCGACGCGTATATCGGACGGTCAGCGTTGGACATCACGCGCGACGATAAACAACGCAACTTTCGGTGCAGTGTTGCCGTGATATGTGGCCAGAATTCGGCACATGTGGACGAATCGGTCAAAATGAACAGCCGATTGTTGCCGAGCGACTCGACATGGATTAAGTTGTCGGATGCGTCGATGGTCTTAGAAGAACAGCCGCACAAAGTGGCCGAAACTTTTCGGCTGTTTCTCCAAGGATTGGGCTATACGTTGAAAGCCTATCGGAAAAAGAGGGCTCTAATGATGGGAATGTCGATGCCATGTCTGGCCAGCTCTCGGCTTAGCTTATATGGTGGTAGCGCTGGCGGCCCGTCAACTGGTGGTCACAGTTCGGCCGCGTTTCCCGTGATTCATGAGATTTAGACATTAATTTCGATTTTATTAATTGTTATACAATTTTAATACACTTAATAATTATTAGAGCAAATAATAAGTTATTTTTGTTATTGTTTTGACAATCTATGCACAGAATATACAGATATATTTTAATTATTATTTTAATTTTAATTATTTGTTAAAAACATATTAACTTTAATTGACATTTATTTAAATTATTTTTTTTTGGTTAATACTTATATTTAATATTTAAAAGTATATTTAATTGATATATTAATTATATTATGCATATATGTGTTGTTTTTTATAATAATTATCTAAATTATTAATAAATTAAAAAAATATTAGACATATTAATAATTTAATTTTTGTCTAAAATATTTATGCAATTATTTAAAAATTATAATAAAATTTATGTGAATATTTAAAATAAATATTATTAAAAAAAGTCATTCAGGTTAAAAAAATAAATAGCTAATTTTATAAAATTAATAATTTATTCTAAATATTAATGTTAAAAAATTAAATTTTACAATACTATATGCTATAATTTATTGTCTAAATTTATCTGTATTACAATTATAATATATATATTTTTTAAAATTTTTTTTTAAAAATTATTAATGTTTTTAAGATAAATTTGTTTTATTAAGACATGACTGCTAGATATATAAAGTTTTTAAATATATAGTATGATTGTATTTATTATTAATATTTAATTTTAAAATATACAGTACAGATAAACACATATATATTTAGTATTATTATTAATAATAAGTATTTTAAATAAATTTTTATATTTAACTAAATTTGTCAATAAATAAACATTTAAAATTTATTTTTAAATAAACAACATATCAAATAGCATCATAATCAAATTTACAAATACTTTAAATATTTATTAGATTAAAATCAAAAACAAAAAAATTCAAAAATTTTAATAAAACAATAAAACAAACCTAAATCAAATTTATTATTATTTTTTTAATTAATTTTAATTAATTCACAATTAGTTTTTTAATTTGCTATATTTATATATATTTTCCCATTAATATAACTGGTCTAATAGCAATATCATCTTTAGGGTTTGGATTGGCAATTATATACTGTTTTAATTTATTAGCCAATTCAACCTGGCTAAATTTGTTTAGCTGACCAATCATATCTATCATGAATTTATTATAATAAATTTTGCCTTTAAACGATATATTAGCATTAGGAGGGTCTGAAAATTTAGGTAGATTCATTTTTTTAATCGATGTATTATCAAGGATAAATCTAGAAAATAATTCAGCTTTTTGACCAGGGTTAAACTGGTCCAGGTTACCAACCATTGTCAATTTATAGACACCATCGCCAGGTTCATCAGAAATCTGGACACTATAGCTATTGGTATTATTATTTTTTAAATAAAATCTTCTGGTATTCATTATATATATTTTTCCATTTTGATCCACAACCGACATCGACCGCTGGCCATCATAACCGATAGTATCCATTAGTGATTTCTGGCCATCAGTATCGGTCACCACCACTGGTACTGCTGCTGCTGCTGCTGACGGCGGTTTAGATTTGGTCTCATTTTTAGTTGGATTTGATTTTTCGTCCACTTTTACAACTTTTTCCGAACCGACAGTATTTCTGGCATCACTGGTCACTCTTTTTTTTGTTTATATACTTGATTTGATTTAATATAAACTCGTTGTTGTCATCAATTTCACAAACAGTATAGCTGATGAATATCATTGATATAATTATAAACAATTTCATTGTTATATTTAAAAAAAAATCTAAAATTTTAGTCAATATATGATTCAATGATATTCAATAATAATAATTATTATTATAGTATTAAAACTATACAAAATAAAAATTTTGTAACAATTTTTTATTTTGTTGTAACAAATAGATTGTCGATTCTTTATATTTATATACTTTACTGTCTATCAATTAGATGTATTTTATTAAAAATATTATTATTTGTATATATCATTAATATTTTATATAATGGAAATTTTTTTGAAATATATTTATTTGATTGATTATTATTTGTAAAAAAATATTATATGTAAAAAATAGTTTTCAAATATCATTATATATAAATATAGACTTACCAATAGCTTGTAAAATTAACCTAGATAAATTTTGTTTTAAAATAAACTTCAATTATGTAAAAAAATTAAATTATTGCTATTGAAATTAATTATTTTGCAAATTGTATATATAATTGAAAATTATATTTATTATTCTACTTTTATATTAAAAAATAATAAACTAATGTTAAATTATTATTATTAGAAAAATAGTCGGTCACTCTATAAATGTGTAATTAATTTTATAGCTTATATTTCAAAATATTAAAATATGTTTTAAGAAAACAAAACTATAAAATATATTTTATAATAAATTATTTAAAAATATATCTGTGTACTTTTAGCTATAATTTAAATTTTTTGAAATAAACAATAAGAATAATAATTAATATTTGTTTAAAAACCACTTTTTTTATGACATATCCGTGTTTGCTATCATAAAAATACAGGAATTATATTATTTAAAAATATTTATTTAAAAATAATTATTCGTCTAAATAACTACTGTATATAATGTACTAAAAAATCAATAGCAATATCAATGTATTTAATGAAAATATGTTAAAAAAGATAATTAATTATTAATTTCTAGTTAAATGATCTTTAATGAAAATTATCAATTTAATTAAAATAATTATAATTTTTAACAATAATAATATCGCTATTAATATGATTAAAAAAAATCAAAAAAATGTATAGATTTAAATTTGAAACAAAATATTATATAATAATTAGATATATTATTAATAACTATTGTTCTAATAAATTGTTTTAATAAATTTTTATTAACATATATTTCATGAATTTTCAATAAAAAATACAATATATTATAAAATCAATATTAATAGTAATAGTAGTAGTCCATAATTATATTATCAAGTAAGTTTTTTTTTAAAAAAAACAATAGTTATTTATTTAGTTTCAAAATATTAATAATAAAAATAAATAATTATTTTTGAAACCGTTGGCAACCATAGAATCAATTAGCCTTTAGTTGTCAACTCTTTATACAAATTATCAAAATATTTTTAGATAGTTTTTGCTCAAATTTTTATAATTATTATAAAATTTATATAATTTAAATAATAATAATTACTTAAAAATAATATAGGTCATTCTAAATATATTAAATTAATTTTTTATAATATTATTTTCATGCAAACATATTATTAAATAAAACATTTTACACAACTATATGTTATTATTATTATTATAACTGATTTTAATAAATCATTATTTTTTTTAGGGTTTTGCAAATAATTTGATGACAAGTATTTGATCCGATATTTGCCGCAAACAACTGATACCTATATCACGGGTCAAACTATTGATCTTTTTTTTAATGTGATGTCATCGTCAAACTGGTCTATTGTTTTAACAGCTTTCACTTCATTGACACTGTTATCTATTGTATATATTATACGATTTTATTAATCAAACAGTTTAGAAGACAACCAGTTCTAGCAATTGGTAGCCAACTGTCCAAAATTACAGATTTTCATATTTTTTAAAACCACTTTTAGTGTGACAGTGGCTAACAATTGTAGGTCATATCAACATCAAAGAAAACTATGTACTGTCAAGCTATATGTTTAACCGATGTCCACACTTAACCCGATTGTCTGGCCATAAATTTTAGGATACTTTTTTTACCGATATAGTAATCAATCTACCGAATATGCCAATTGATATTATGCACTGTTGTGTTTACCGACAACTGTCCCGATTGTGACGATTGGTCAGATTGACGGTTTCAAACTGTCGCCACAAAGAACATAAACCAAGTTTCAGAGCTTATGTATCTGAAAACTAGACCTAAGTTAAGGCAATTTTGGCCCTAAAAACTACATTACTTATGATATTTAAACAATTTTTTAAAATTTATTTCTTTAATTTCTAAATTAAATTTTTTGTTTTTTTATCATTCAACACTTAACAAACTACTGTACTGTATAAATGATTTTTAAAATATAGATAAATATTTTAATTAGATTTTTTTTTATTATAATTGATATTTATAATATACATGATAAAATTTTAAAAGGTTTAAATAAAATTAAGGTTTACAGTTTTACATAAATTTTTCACATTTTTCAAGTATTTCTAGCAATTATCTAAAAAATAATATTATGAGTCGTTCATCGGTTTTGGTTACGGTGCCGGCGCTAACGTATTGAGTCGGTTTGCACTCAACTGTCCCGATATGGTCGAGGGATTGTTTCTCATTCATCCATCAGCAACGGCCAGTACATGGACTGAATTGAAAAATATATATTTATTTTTTTAATTTATAGATTTTAATTTTTTAAGAAAATATATTAAAAACAATAATAATTCAATAATTTATTAGGATCTATAATTTAAAAATCAATTTTAGATATATATATATATATTGCCGATACTTTGGCGGCCAATTCATTAACAATCTAAATCTCGGTCTGTTTATTGACGCGTATATCGGACGGTCAGCGTTGGACATCACGCGCGACGATAAACACGAAACGATTCGGTGCAGTGTTGCCCTGATATGTGGACAGTATTCGGCGCAATATGTGGACGAATCGGTCAAAATGAACAGCCGATTGTGTCCGAGCGACTCGACATGGATTAAGTTGTCGGATGTGTCGATGGTCTTAGAAGAACAGCCGTACAAAGTGGCCGAAACTTTTTTTGGCTGTTTCTCCAATGGTTTGGGCTATACGTTGAAAGCCTATCGGAAAAAGAGGGCTCTTATGATGGGAATGTCGATGCCATGTCTGGCCAGATCTCGGCTTAGCTTATATAGTGGTAGCGCTGACACCGGCGGGCCGTCAACTGGTGGTTACTCCAGGGGTTGGGCTATACAGGGCCCCAATGTTGGGAAAGTCAAAGCCATGTCTAACCAACAAAATTAATAATTTTAAGAAAGTCTTTTTAGATAAAATTATTTTTATGTACAATATATTAGTATTTATTATTAATATTTAAACAGATAAACATATATATATATATATATATATATATATATATATATATATATATATATATATATATATATTATTTAGTATTTTGTAATTTAAATAATTGTTTAAAGTAATAATGTAAATAAACAGTAATTAATTTTTTAAATAAAAAAAATACCTAACATCAAATTTGAATTACTTTAATATATTTATTATATTAAAAAAATACTAATAACAAAAATGAAAAGTTTAAATTGTCAAATTAAAATTTTTATTAAACAGTTAAACAGGTAGATTAATCATTACTTTAAAAAATTAAAAATAATTTTATATTTATTAGTAAACTAAACATATTTAAGCGGCCAAATCACGAGCTACCCGAACCGCTGCTGCCGCAGCCGCCGCTTGTTGGCCACCACTGCTGCTGCTGACCACCGTTGTCCGTCCAAACTTGGATCTGGCTATACTTCTAACCCGATCACCACTACTACCCCTACCGGAACCGACAGTATTGACACTCGTTTGGACCCGATTTTTAATATTATCAATCATATCGCTAATCATATTGTTGCCACCTTTGATGGCAACAGTATAGGCGATCAATACCATCAACAATGTTATTATCAATAATTTCATTGTCTATTAATTATAGTATATATTTATATAAATATATTAATATAATGTTGTGTTTTTTGTGATATTTTTTGTGTGTTTAACTGTTTGAATACTCGACTCTTTATTTATATACTTTTACTGTTATATAATTATATACCTGTGTATATATATATATAAAAATTTAACATATATCTGTAAAATTATTAATGATTTTATTTAATTTTTTTGGTACAAATATCATTGATTAATCGATCAGTGTATTGGAAAAGTTTTATAATATAGAGGAAAAATAAAATATTAATAAATTAAGTAATAATATGTAAAAAACAATATAATTATTATTATTTTGCAATAGTGTAGCATATTTTATAATAAATCATTTAAAATAATCTGTGTACTTTTAGATTTAATTTCATTTTTTAAAAACACTTACGATATTTTATAAAATGTTTAATAAATAAAAATATTCAATAAAAATACATGTTTTATTTAAATTTAAAATATTGTTTGCAATAATAAATATACATGTATTACATGATTAATAAGTTAAGTAAATCTATATTAAGTTTATTAAAAATAAATAAAAATATTAATTTTATTATACATTTATATGCTTTTAAAAAACAATTTGTTATCAAATAATTATGAGTTTAGTATATGTTTTTCGAAAATATTTAATAATAATTTTTAAATAAAATAATCTATTGTAATAATTTTAAATAAATTTAATTTTAATACAATTAATTTTAATCTAAAATAATAACAAAAAAATACACAATTTAATAATATATAACTAGTATAACAAAACAATTTTAATTATTATCATGAACATTTTTAAAAATAAAAATAATTTTATCAATAGTTAAATTTTTACCGAGAAATAGTTTATCCCGATCTAGTCTACTATAGTATATTACCGGCCATATAATCATCGGTAGCCGTACTGTTTAACTGGTCAACAAACTGTTGGTCAGATTTTAGTCGTAGTAGTAGTAGTGTATACCAGTTAAGGCATCCCTATAAGCTTATGGATACATTTTCCCCAGACTATCGGTAATACTAATATTATTGGTAAACAAATTGCCGCCAAAATTAGTGCCGACCGTTACGGTTATCAGAATTTTATTAGTCGCCGCTAAAACTTTAATAAACTAAATATATTTTTTATTATTTAGTTTCAGTCAATTATAAGATATTTATATATAATTTATGTATAAATTTTGTTAAATTAGTGGAAATAAATTTTAACTATTTTTTAGACTACTCTTTATACTGTATATATCACTTTATCTATCTATAGATATGTAATGTGTATTACAATAATAAAATGTTTTAGTGTTGATGGTTACAAACAATTAATAAATTATAATTTTAGTTGCAATAAATAATATAAATTTTTTGAATGCACAGTTTATTTATAGTTATATAAAAAAAATTAATAAATTTTTGAATACATATTTAATACATATTTGAATAATATAATTAATAAAAATTTAGATTTAAAAAAAATAATATATTCAATAATTATATTTCTCTTTTAGTTATTAATTATAATAATTTATAATTAACAACTATCCATATTAACCAATTAAAAGTTAGGATCTAGTTACTGAAACTTTTTTTTATATAATTGTTTTTCGACCCCAGTAAGAACAATGTCTTTAAGTTTGTCCAAACCATCAGATTTTGCTTTATTATACCTTATTGCCAGTCCATCCATATAATTGAATCCATTATTAGCTAATGTATAGAATTTATCTTTGATGGCGGAGGTGGTGGCTGAAGTGGTGGTGGCGACCAACATAACGGTAATTAGTAAGGGTATTATGAAAAATTTCATTTTTTTATAATAATCCTAATAACTTTAAGACATTTGTTTTGTCTGTTTGTTTGTTTGTTTGTTTGTTTGTTTGTTTGTTTGTTTGTTTGTTTGTTTGTATGTGTGCACACTTCCTCAACAACCATTTTTTAATTCAAAGCTAAAAATATATTGTTATATTTTCAATTTTAATTTAATGCAATATTATTTCTATGGGAAATTTTAAATGATTATTGAGCTCAGGTAGGTTTTAGGGACAGGTAGGCTGGTGTCGTGTAATTACACTTTGCTATATTATATGAGTTACAGGGCACCGGGAGGTAAGCTACCTGTGCTAAATTTTTGCAAAATTTTCTCAAATGCAAAAATTTTCAATTTGTGTTAAAATTTTCAATTTGTGTTAAAATTTTCAATTTGTGTTAAAATTTTCAATTTTAATTTAAAGCAATGTTATTTCTATGGGAAATTTTAAATTTTTGTTGAGCTCAGGTAGGTTTTAGGGACAGGTAGGCTGGTGTGTCGTGTAATTACACTTTGCTATATTGTGTGAGTTTATGGCACATGTTAGCTACATGTGTTAAATTTCAGTAAATTTTTTTCAAATGCAAATTTTTTTTCGCAAAAATTAAATTTTCAATTTTTATTAAAATTATTTAAATATATATAAAAACTAAAATTTCTCAAAAGTTTAGTCGAATTAATGTGTATTGGTTCAGTAGTTTGTTACATTAGGTTATGTAGTAGTTGTATAAACAAATTAAGTCTCATTCAAATTACTTATAGTAAATATTTTTAAATTAGTAAAAGAATTGCACGGCTATACATGTTGCTCGGGACAAACTAGTAGTAGTTATAATTTTTTATAAAATTTTATTATTTTGGTATAAGTTTTTTTTGTTAATTTTAACTAATTTCATGTCTTTATATACATGATAACATTTGTTTTTTTAATTTTTCAAGACAGTTTAAAATATAATTAATAGTTTTTTTAAATTTTTTATTTTTTAAATTATACTATAAATACACAGATAATATAACAAATTATAAAATAAAATTTTGTTATGTATTACTAAACATATTTTTATATTTTGAAATAAGCTATAAATTTAACAAAATTAATTACATTTTTATAATGTAATAAAATAAAAAAAAGTAATTAATTTTATTAAATTAGTTTATTAAAACTATTAAAAATTGTCTACTTGTTCCTACATTTACTGGTAATTGTTTGCATGTTTAGTCTATTGTGGCTAAACGGGTCTCATTTGATTAAATCGGATCAATTTGTTAGCTCATTGAAGACACGGGTCAGGAAATCAGTGATACCTGTATATAAACTTTACATATATCTGTAAAATTATTAATGATTTTATTTAATGTCAATTATTTTTGTGGTAATAATTTCATTGATTTATCTATTAGTGTATTGGAAAGTTTTATAATAGGAAGAAAAAATAAAATATTAATAAATTATGTAATAATATGTAAAAAACAATACAATTATATTTTGAAATAGTGTATCCTATTTTATAATTAATTATTTAAAATAATCTGTGTACTTTTAGAGTTAATTCAATTTTTTAAAAACACTTACACAATATTTTATAAAAACTTTAATAAATATTCAATAAAAAACACTTGTTTTATTTAGATTTAAAATATTGACATATCCTTGTTTGCAATAATAAATATACATGTATTGTATGATAAATAATTTAAGTTAATTTATAGTAAATTTGTTAAAAATAAATAAAAATATTTATTTTATTATACATACATATGCTTTTAAAAAAATTCAATTTGTTATTAAATAATCATGAGTTTAGTATATGTTTACGAAAATAATTGTTAAATAAAATAATCTATTGTAAAAATTATTAATTTTAAATAAATTTTATTTTATTATAATTAATTTTAATCTTTAAATAATATTCATAACAAAAAATAATACAATTTAATAATATATAACTAGTATAACAATAGAATTTTTAATTATTATCATGAAATTTAAAAAAAAATAATAATAAAACTAATTGAGGCAACAAATGAATTTAAAATTTTTAATTTTGAAAAATGTTATATGAAATCAATAATTTTCTTAACCAATTGGATTGAATAGTTTATTTAAAACCTAGTTCATTTATCTTAATTATTTAGCCAACTGTAGCGAACATCCCGAACTGCACGGATGACGACTGTGAACCCCGAGTGATGACAGCAAAGGGGTCACTGTTATACCCGAACACTGCGATATCACCGATACGTGGAGTTGGGTCAACACATGCGAAATATACGGCTATTATCCGGTTGATAGTCATTATCCACCGCTTAAAGATTTCCGGGCCCTACTGTCGGACACCCAATACTCTTCTCTATAGATCGAAAATTCGGTTTACTTTCCCGGTTCGGGTCATGTCGTAAGCAATCAGTTGTACAATGATTCCGATCGACGGCTGTGTCACTACAATAGCCATAACAATCCGTTTTGTCCGATATTTCTATTTAAAGATCTTATCGTAACTATTTTACTATTATTTTATTTATATATATCTATAATATAATATAATTAAAAACTAAATACAAACTTATAATAAATTTGATTTCTTAATTTTATTGTAATGGAAAAATTTATTAAAAAGATATATATATATATTGTATACATAGTGAAAAAATTTTGAAAAACAAAAAATAAATAAAAAAATCAGTTAATATTATTTGAAAAGGTTTTTTTTAATATAGAAAAGTTATATTATATCAATACTAATAATTAGTTTTAAAATTAAACTTTTTGAGTTTAAATCATTGTATGCCTAATACCACTGCTCTACGACATGACTATAAATATAAATAAAAAATAATTATTAGTTAAAAAAATTAAAAACAAAATAAAAAATAAAATGTTGAACAAAAAATAAATTAAAATAGTTTTCTCATACTCTCTCACACACACACACACACACACACACACATACATACACACACACACACACACATACATACACACACACACTCAAACACATACTCTCTTTCTCTCACACACTTCACACTCACACACACACTCACACACACACACTCACACTCACACACACACACACTCACACACACACTCACACTCACACACACACACACACTCACACACACACACACACAAATACATACATATATATATATAGATTAACTAAAAATAGTTTTCTTACATTAATTTCATCAATTGTTTTGGTGAACACGTATTTATCGGAAACCAATTCATTGCCCAAATCATCGATAAATTGTTTGTTTGTTTCTTCGTATTCAACGATTTTCTGTTTTAAACATTTATTGTATGATTCCGAACATAATTCCAATATTTTTGATTTAATAACAATTGGTCTATCATTTAGGTTAACATTAGTATAATTTCTTAGTATATCATCTCTGCCTACTAAACATTCAGCCTTAATGTCTAATATCTTTAAAACAAAAACATATGGGATATACAGTAGTTATTATTAGTATTATTATTATTATTATTATAGCAATTATTTATTTATTATAATTAAAATTTATAATAATTATATAATAACTAACTTTTGAATTATATTGTTTAATATTAGGTGACTGTTGTTGTTCCGGTATTTCTGATCGACAATTAATAAAATCATTGATTAATTTGGTATTTAATTTGTTTGGCGAACAGATTAAGTCTGTATTTAAGTTGTTTAACAAATCTGTATCCACGCTATTGGGTAGTGGGTGTGGGTTTAGGTTTAGGTTTGGGTTTGGTTGTGGTTGTGGTTGTTGTGGTTGTTGTGGTTGTTGTGGTTGTTGTGGTTGTTGTGGTTGTTGTGGTTGTTGTGGTTGTTGTGGTTGTTGTGGTTGTTGTGGTTGTTGTGGTTGTTGTTGTAATTGTAGTTGTGGTTGTGGGTGTAGGCGTGGGTTAGAAATTAAATCATTATGTTGTACACCGTTGACTACAATTATTGTAGTAAAATTAACAATCAAAAACACAATAGCAATAATTATTTTCATATTACTTAATATTTTTTTAAAAACTTATTGTTATATTGTTTTTTTTGTTTTGTTTAATTAATTTAATAAATAAATGTCAACTAAAACTCTTAAACACTAATTAGAAAATGAAGTTTTTTTGAAAAGCTAAATACTATTATATTTATTGTAAAAATGGAGTTGATTTTAATAATTTAAAAAAAATCTGTTTTTTAAATTAAAATTACGAAATATTACTACTTTTATATTTATTTAAAAAAAATTATTTTATATTAATTATGATAATTATTTTTCATTTTAATCAATTTGTTTAAATGCTTATTAAAAAACTTTACTAAAACATTAAAATTTATAAAACCATATTTTTTCAATCTAAATGTTTAAAGTAATTTAAAAATATTTTTAACGAAATTATAAATATTAGTTAAATTAGTTTTTTATATTTACTTTAATTTATGATATCTTCTAAAATAATTAATTAAAAAATGGAATTTAATTATATTATATTAAAATTATAACATTAATTAAATAATACTCCATTTATTTTTATTAATTGTTTAAATTAATATCTTAATTATATGGAAAAATTTACTTTAAATAATTTTATTAATTGATATTAATATTTAACTTAATAATATTTAAATATTAATGTCTATCTAAATAAATTATACAATTTAATAAAAATATGTTTATTTTTTATTTATATTTTTTGTTGGTTTGTTTTGCTTTATTTTTATAATATTCATATTTAAATACTTAATAATTGATTTACTCATTTGAATAATACGTCAATTCATAAATGCTTATAAATATTTTGCAAAATATTACTGAATATTAAATAAATGCACACAAAGATTAAAATATTATTTTTAAAACTATAAATTTTATGATTATTAGTCTATTATATAATTAACTATAAATTATTTAACTAAATGAACAAATAATAAAATTGCAATTATGACTAAAAGTGATTATAACAAGTGCAACACATATGAGACACAATTTTTTGTTTGTTAATCCATGTTATTATAGATACCAATTGGTTGCGGCAATACGTCTATCGGCCACTGGTCATACATAAAGCAATGCATTTCGGGTGTCCGACTCAATCCTGACCACTCTATCGTCCGATTCGCGGATTTGCTGTTCAATCAATTTGATTTTTTTTTCGTTGTTATCCATCGAGTTCTCCAACTTTTTCAGTTCATCCAAATCATATGTCTCGTTGTTTTCGTTTTCGTTGTCGCCGATGGCGGCCACACCTCTCCGACCACTACTACTACTACTACTATCACCAGCACCGCCGGTACGAACAATAATAAGTTGCTGTTTTTCTGGAAATTTTAGAGGGGGACATTTGGCTTAACCCCTACCCCATTGCTTAACCATGATATATATATATATAGATTTTATAAAACAAATTTTTATAATTTTTTTTAGCTAATAATTATTGTATTATAATAATTAACTATTAGTTTGATAACAATATTTCTGTAATTAATATCAACTGTTTTTAATTGTTATTAGTGTATCGATTAATTGTATAATTAACTAAAATAAAAAAAATTATATTAATTGTGTAAATTAATTGTTAAACAATTTTTTTTAATTAGTTGTTGATATTTTTATTAAATTTCTATAATTATGACAACAATTTATTTTATAGTTAAAGCACATGAAAATAGATAAATATTTTGTTTTCTATTGAAACTGTATTTTATTTGAAAACAATATATAATTTTTAAATAGTTTTGACAATAGATTTGTTGCGATTATTACAGTATTAGTTGTAAAACAAATCTAATCGATTGATAACAATATTTCTGTAATTGATATCAACTGTTGGATTCAAAATCACTTATTTGTCGACTAATCTGTTGTTTGGAAAACTCTCGGGAAGAATGAATAGATCGCCAAAAGACTCGTTCGAGCGGTTCGGCAATGATTTAACAGAACTGTTGTTAACTTATCTGACATTTGAAGACAAATTCAGATTTGAGTCGATATCCAAACAATGGCAACAATTGATGTTCAATACAGTCGATGAACTCAATGTCAATGTAGACCTCAAGACAGTCAATGCCAATACATTTGATCCATTAATGTATCCGAAACTCTGTTCAGATAACTGGCAGTCAGTGTTGAGAAAGTGTAGAAACATATCGAAAGTTTGGCTAAAAATTGATTACAAATTCGAGAAGAAAGTTAAAAAAGTAAAAGTAAATGAAGAAGTGGTAGTTAATGATGGAGTGGTAATCAACGATATTGACGACAATTTTGACGACGAAAGTGATGATAAAATTCTCAATAATGAAGAAATTGATAAAATATTTAACAAACACAGAAAAATTCGTACATTTTTGGACAAAATCTACGAACAGTTGACTGTTTTGGTGGTCAACGAGTTGAGCCAATTGACACACTTTACATCCTATGCCATCAATTATTTTAATGACAAAACGGTCGAAAAAACGGTCGACAAATTGGTGGACAAATTTGGCGGACAATTGAAGTTATTTGACTTTCCCAATCATTTTGACCACTCATTGCGTCAACAATTTAGACAATTGTTGCCATCTATGCCACGATTGATATCCGTTAGCCATTGGATTACCATCAATAACATCATTGACACCATCAGTGGTGACAATACGTCGGCTGAAGTGATACCAAACAATGTTATTACTAAACGACTCGAACGCTTCTTCATTAAACTATTTGATGACAATAATGTCGATAAGTTTGCATTGTTTGCCGATATTTGCCGCAAACAACTCATACCTATATCACTGATCAAAATATTAATCTTTGGCGATGTCATCGACAAACTGATTGAATTAAATTGTTTGATACGTTTCAGATCATTGACTGTTATCTATATACGATCTTTCAATCAACAGCTTAGTAGACAACAGTTCCAGCAATTGGTAGACAATTGTCCAAAACTGAAAAAAGTTTCATATTATGTCTACGACTTTATTAGTGATTGCAAGACATTCGTCGATGATATTACTGCAGCCATTGGCGGTACTCGTGTAACAGTACTAACCATTTTCGGTCATATGAACTATGAAAACTATGTACTGACCAGCGATATGTTTAACCGATGTCCACAATTGACCCGATTGTCGATTGCTGGCTATCTATTTCAGGATCCGTTTTTTACCGATCTGGCCATCAATTTGCCAAATCTCTGCCAATTAATGTTATGCGCCGTTATATTGACGAACGCCGGGTTACAATCGCTGTCCCGATTGAGGCGATTGACCCGATTTATGGTCAGACTATCGCCGGAAAGCACATACACAGAGTCAGAGCTTATGTATCTGAAAATGAGACCCAAGTTTAAGCAATTTGTGGCTAAAGATGACATTACTTTTGATATTTAAACACTTATTTTTTATTTCATTTCATTTATTTTATTTTGGTTTTAATTTTATCATTCATATCAACAATAAATGTATAATTGATTTAAACATTTAAATAAAAATTATAATGAGATATTATTTTTTATTATAATTAATATTTATAATATAATATAACATAATATAGTATTATTAATTACCTGTAGTTTAATAGTTGATATTATTATATTATGCATTTTTAATAATTATTTTAATAAATAAATATAAAATTTAATTAAATGTTTTATCTCATTAATTAACTTACTTAATACTATTGAATTTTTATTTATTGTAATTTCTAGTTTTATTATTGCATATAATTTAAACAACATTTTAAAAATGAATTATAATATAAATATAAGTTTACTAATAATTATAAATCATAATATTTTTTTTATGTATGCAAAATAAAATTATTTTCAGTTTTATTAAACAAATGTATTGTAATTTAACATAAGTTTTCCATTTTCCAAATAACATTTCCGCCGCCACTACTGCCACCACCAGTGCTAACACCATCGCCAACATTTCCGCCGCCACTACTACCATCACCACCAGTTAGTACTTCATTGGGCCAATTGTTGCAATATTTAACAAATTCAACAATCAATAACATGCTAAATGTATACAAGATTGAAATGGATCCCAATTTCAAGAAAAAACCGAACCAATCAGTTTGGGTTAGATAGGCTTTAACAATGACACCAATTTTAATGGTATAGAAGCGCTGGTGTGTCCTATTAGTGACGCCACCGATGTTATTGTCGCTGACTTTTTCGATACTATGTCAAAACCGATGGCGTCCACGATTGATAACACGGCGTACAGTCTAAACCGGTATGCAATCGCGCTCAGGTAGATAATTAAAATAGTACAGACAATCTCCCATGTAATTATTAAATTAAAGTAATCGCCAAATCGGGCCAAACTTTTATAGGACTCGTTATTATTGTCGGCATTTTCGATAAGATCTTTCAATAGAAATATCGGACAAAAAGGATTGTTATAGCGATTGTAGTGACACAGCAGTCGATCGGAGTGATTGTGCGGCCGATTAAACTGATTGCTTACAACTTGACCCGTATCGGGAAAATATACCGAATTTTCGATCCATAGCGTAGAGTATTGGGTGTCCGATAGTAGTGCTCGGAAACCTTTCAATGGCGGATAATGACTATCAACGGGACAATAGCCATATATCTCGCATGTGTTGACCCAACTCCACGTATCGTTGTTGTCAAAGTGTATCGGGATATCCGAGCGAACACACCGACTCGTTTGCCGGCCATTTGGTGTCATTGCCCGCTGTTCGCAGTCGGCATCCGTATCGCACAGCGAACCGTGCAGTTCGGGATGTTCGCCACAGTTGGCCAATCGTTGGCCGCGTGTAACCTACAAATTGGTTACAATGTAGACATCGTTTTTATCGTAAATAACATAGTCTTCCATTTGCCAAAAACGATTATAACTGTCCAATTGGTCGACGGATACTAAAAAACTATTGAACTGATCGTACGAGTAGTTGGTTATCACTGACTCCCTGACCCTTGTCTTCAATGAGTTGACAAATTGGTCGTTTCGGGTCAAATGTGATCCGGTATAAATCAATAAACCAATTAAAACCCAAAATCACCAGTAAATGTGAGATCATGTAAGTCCATCTGAACTTTTTTAATCTATTTTTAAAAATAATGTTTAATTAAAAAATAATAATAATAATTATATAAAAATTAATTTAGTTAAACATTTTAATAGATATATATTGTTTACCTAATTTCGATGACAGGTTTATCAGGTATAGTGTTGTACAACTCATTTGCTATGAATTTACCAATTGGTTTAAAAATATTTATCACACAATTCATTGTAATAATAATTTATTATTTAAATTTATAAAAAAAACAAATTTCAAATCACACTAGTTTTATATAAATCTACTGTAATAACATAATAATAATAATAATTTTGACAATTTAAGATATAATGTATTATAAATTATTTTTGCTTATAATATAGAGTAATTTAATTGATTTATCTTTTTTTTATAAAAAATAATATTAGTAATCATACAATATTGAATGGAAAACTTGTATGTTATGTAATCGGGAGGACAGTAATGTCTAATTTATTTTTAACTACTATCCAAATATATATATATTATTTTATACACAATTCAATTAGCTTAGTTAGACTTATAATTTAGTTATACAATATATATAATATTAAATGTGTATAACACTTGTGTCTCTAATTTTTCTATACAAATCATAGGAAAAGATATTAGATGGCGAGGGGGTGGGGGTAGGAATAGGGTTATGGGTGGGGTAGGCATGGGATAGGATTGGATAGAGAGTAAGTGATATTTGTAAATAGTTGATTGGATCAATTGATTGCATCAATAAAAATATAAATTTTATCAAAACAATGTAATAGATATTTATTAGTATTATAAGCTAGCTATACAGTACAGTATATACTGTATATAATAGATATAAACTATATTTTCATTGTATATTTTTGTTTGTAATTTTAATTTTGTATATTATATTTTCATTTTAACTAATGTGGTATATATTCAATAGCTATAAATTAAAAGCAATAATATTGTATATAAAATATCTATATAAAAGGGCCTTACATTAATCTCGCACACGCGGTTTTTGCTATAATTCTTAAATGGTGTGAGATATATTAATTTTGTAAAAAGAGTATTAAAAAGTGATTTACGTGTGATATTATAAAATATTAAATTTTTAATTTTGATCACGTGATCATATTTATTCTGGGATGTTTGCAAACCACTATATCACAACCTAAACTATAAATGCTATAATAAAATTTCAATAGTAAGTTTGTAATGCCTAAACTGGAAATTTATGGGAAGAAAATTTTTTTAAAATTGGTTGCAAAATAAATTTTTTATAGTTTTTCAAACTTGTGGAAAAACACATTATATAAAATAGTCGAAAATAAAATGACGTTATTTATGGACAGTAGACACTTATTAGATAGAGATTTTAATACTATTGCTTATTCTAAAAACAAAATTTTTTTATGTCAAATATATTTTTAGATAATCAAATTTAATTAAAAATTAAATTATCGAAATACTAAGCTGTGTTTTTTATTGTAATTTGATTATCTAAAAAAATATTTGACATAAAAAAATTTTGTTTTTAGAATAAGCATTAGTATTAAAATCTCTATCTAATAAGTGTCTACTGTCCATAAATAACGTCATTTTATTTTCGACTATTTTATATAATGTGTTTTTCCACAAGTTTGAAAAGTCATAAAAAATTTATTCTGCAACCAATTTTAAAAATTTTTTCTTCCCATAAATTTCCAGTTTAGCCATTACAATCTTACTAGTGAAATTTTATTCTGGCATTTATAGTTTAGGTTTTGATATAGTGGTTTGCAAATATCCAAGAATAAATATGATCACGTGATCAAAATTAAAAATTTAATATTTTATAATATCACGCGTAAATCACTTTTTAATACTCTTTTTACAAAATTAATATATCTCACTCTGTTTAAGAATTATAGCTAAAACCGCGTGTGCGAGATTAATGTAAGGCCCTTTTATATATTTTCTATATACCAGTATTAATGTGTAATATAAGTGTTATAATAATATACAATAAGATTTTTTATAAATGTTTTAATCGGTTTGTTTGTTAGCATTTTAAATATATATATATATATAAATCATTTACAGATTTAATCTCGAATAACAAATTTAAAAATAATGATATATTATGAATATAAAAGGGCCTTACATTAATCTCGGGCACGCGGTTTTTGCTATAATTATTAAACGAACTGAGATATATTAATTTTGTAAAAAGTGTATTAAAAAGTGATTTACGCGTGATATTATAAATTATTTAATTTTTAATTTTGATCAAGTGATCATATTTATTCTTGGACGTTTGCAAACCACTGTCATAACCTATACTATAAATGCTAGAATAAAATTTCAATAGTAAGTTTGTAAAGCTTAAACTGAAAATTTATGGGAAGAAAAAATTTTTAAAATTGGTTTATTCTTCGACCAATTTTAAAAATTTTTTCTTCCCATAAATTTTCAGTTTAAGCTTTACAAACTTACTATTGAAATTTTATTCAAGCATTTATAGTATAGGTTATGACATAGTGGTTTGCAAACGTCCAAGAATAAATATGATCACGTGATCAAAATTAAAAATTAAATAATTTATAATATCACGCGTAAATCACTTTTTAATATACTTTTTACAAAAATAATATATCTCAGTTCGTTTAAGAATTATAGCAAAAACCGCGTGCCCGAGATTAATGTAAGGCCCTTTTATATACAATTTCTATGTAATGTTATATATATTGAGTCTAATGATTTAAAATATTCAAGGATTCAATTGAATAATAATAATAATAATAATAATAATAATAATAATAATAATAATAATAATAATAATAATAATAATAATAATAATAATAATAATAATAATAATAATAATAATAATAATAATAATAATAATAATAATAATAATAATAATAATAATAATAATAATAATAATAATAATAATAATAATAATAATAATAATAATAATAATAATAATAATAATAATAATAATAATAATAATAATAATAATAATAATAATAATAATAATAATAATAATAATAATAATAATAATAATAATAATAATAATAATAATAATAATAATAATAATAATAATAATAATAATAATAATAATAATAATAATAATAATAATAATAATAATAATAATAATAATAATAATAATAATAATAATAATAATAATAATAATAATAATAATAATAATAATAATAATAATAATAATAATAATAATAATAATAATAATAATAATAATAATAATAATAATAATAATAATAATAATAATAATAATAATAATAATAATAATAATAATAATAATAATAATAATAATAATAATAATAATAATAATAATAATAATAATAATAATAATAATAATAATAATAATAATAATAATAATAATAATAATAATAATAATAATAATAATAATAATAATAATAATAATAATAATAATAATAATAATAATAATAATAATAATAATAATAATAATAATAATAATAATAATAATAATAATAATAATAATAATAATAATAATAATAATAATAATAATAATAAATAATAATAATAATAATAATAATAATAATAAGGAGGCACAGTGGTGTAGTGGTTAGTGTGTAGGGCTATGTAATGTAATGGAGAGTAAGATCGTGAGTTCGAGCCCCGATGTGGAAAGCAATTTTTCTGTTAAAATAAAAATTGTTTTCACTGTGTTTCCCGTCCCTGCCCAACCAACGCTGCTTAGGACGGCCAACTTAGGTAGTATGGGGAAAGCGGGGTGCTACGTGAGGACGAGTTTCTGCCCGACCCCGGGTATCGGTACTTCGGTATCGGTGCCCACCTGGGGGTACCCGCAAGGGTGCTCCCACCCGGGGGTGCCTGTAAAAAGGTGCCCCCACCCCGAAGGGGCGTCCGTAAGGATGTCCCTTCACCCTTCGAGTAGTTACTCGTCCTCACACGCAATGGCCACTTTTGTTTCAAAAAATAAAAATCCTATTTCAACAAACGCATGTTAGTGGTGAGAAATGGGTGGCAATAGACACATGTTAGTGTTGAGCTTATTCTAGGGACTGGGACCCCGTAAAAAGGCCAAAAACAAATATATATATAATTATGATTACACGTAGTCGAAGGAATAACGGGGGGTGTTCGGGAGGTACCCTCTCAAATAAATCCCGCGTTCAGCAGGTAGGCATTGACTGCAGTTCGATAAGTATGCATCATATCCCACGCAGTGATGTGCTATGCGGGCAAAGCTGTGATGTAATGCGACCGCAGACCAGTCAACAAAATCAGACTAACCGCCAAAATGTTTCAGTTCAAGCTGGTTCTCAGCGACAACTGACCAATTTGGTTGAAAAATCGCAAAAGCGCATGAAATGGACACATGAGATGAATACCTTGATAATGCGCGAATACTACAGATCAACTCGACTCGAAACAAATATGACTGATTACAGAAACCAAATATACTTAGCATTCAAACAGAAATATCCAGAACTAAATGTAACGGAACAAAGAATTGCAGACCAACGGCGATTCTTAGCAAAGAATAATAAAATATCCCCAATAGAATTACAAGAAATCAAACAACAAGTGGCACGTGAACTATCCTTAAATGAAACAACTGAATTAAATACTACAGTAGAAGTAGTGCCAGAAATTGAAGAGACACCTACAACAACAGATAACAGAATCGATACAAATGATGAAATAAAGAGAATAACAGCAGAAAATGAACTAAAAACATCTTTAGAACAATATAAAGACTTTGAAATAGAATTCAGACCTAAGCTACCAAAAATAAGAAGTGGCGTTAAAACAAGGTCTACAATAATAACAATTAATGATATACTTAAAAATTACATTGAAGATAATATGTCGTTGAGCGCGATTAATACAATAACGTATTGTGCAGCAGTAGCAGTATCGAGACTATTAGGTTACAAAATAGAACACATGTCAACAACAAAACAAAATCATGAAAATATGATACCTAAATGGCAAAAGCGAATAGAGACACGTATAGAAGGGAA